TCCCCGTCAACATGAACTTTCTTGTCGTCGACGCTGCGGAAAAATGTAGCAGGAATGGGACGCGGCGCACATCGCGCGCGGACGCCTGGCCAAACCTACGCGGGACCCCCCGTCCTACCCGTCAAAGAACACCGCAACGTCGACGTTTTGCTTGCCAGCATGTACTTTATCCTCGTCGGCGCTGCGAATCGCGTAGCGGGAACGGGACGCGGCGCACATCGCGCGGGGACGCCTGCTCGTCAACATGGACTTTCTTGTCGTCGACGCTGCAGCCGGTCGGGTTGAGGAGCTGGGCGGGCGGCAAGTCATAATGCCTCAAGCCAGTGCTGTTCAACCAGTTGCCTCAGGAGACCCCCGGGAAGTCGAAAAAAGGCGTCCAATTGGTCCTGGGGGGCAACACACATATTGATTTTCATTTGGTGTTTGAAGGATTGCGAGGTTAGCACCCTACTTGTGTTGACACTGTTCCAACCCGGAAGATATATCCAAGAGGCCCTCAGGCGTATGCCAGAAAGTTCCCAGGACGCCCCGCGAATTCCCAAGAGGCATCCTCCTCTTCCTCCTCAGTTTCTCCCTCCCTCCCGTTCTCCCTCCCCTCCTCCTCCTCCTCCTCCTCCTCCTCCTCCTCCTCCTCCTCCTCCTCCTCCTCCTCCTCCTCCTCATACTCCTACTCCTTCCCCTCCTCCATGCGCGGCAGGAGCAAAACGATTGGCGGTGCAACGCGCGTGGCTGGAATGAGACGCGGCGCACTTCGCGCGCTGGACATGTTGTCACCGACGATGCAACATGAGAGGCTGGAGCGGGGCGCGGCGTACATCGCCCCTAACCATAACCCCCTGACGCTAACCCTTACCCAGCCCCTCTAACCCTACCGCTCTAACCCTAACACCCTAACCGAGCCCTGACACCTTACCCCTGACCCGAATGCGAACCCTACCACCATAGCCCTAAACCCCTGACCCTAACCCTAACCTGAACACACTAGCCTTTTCCCCCGTCCTAACACCCTATGCCTAACACCCTAACCCTAACTCTCCCACCACAACCCAACCACTCGAACCCTGACCCTAACCCCCGAACCCTAACCTGATTCTCTAACCCCAACCCCCTAACCCCAACCCTACTCCTAACCATCACCCTATTCCTAATCCTAAGCCTAACCTTGACCCTACACCTGAACCCTAACCCGAACTTTACCCCGAACTCTAAGCTCTACCCCCTAGCCTCTGACCCCTAGCAGCCAACCCCTAACCACTACCCCCTACCCCTAACCCCTAACACCTTGCAACCCTCACCCGAACCATACACTTAACCCTACTACCCGAATCCTAACCCCCGAACTCCTCAACCATAGCTGTAACACCCTAACCCTAACCCCCTAACCCTAACCTTAGGCACAACCCGAACCCGGATTATACCATCCTAACCCTAACCCCATAATCCCCTAACCGCCGAAACCGAAACCGAACAGCCTAACCCTAACACTAACCCTAACCCGACCCTTTTGAATCCTAACCCACAACCCCTAACCCCTACCCGAACACCCTAACCCTTCACCCTGCCACCCGAACCCGAACCCCCCATGACACTAACCCTAATACACCCGAACCCTAACACTACCACCTTCATCCGAAAACTTAACCCGAACCCTAACCATAGCCCTAACCCTCTAACCCTAACCCTAACACCCTAATCCGAACCCTGACCCTACCCCCCCCCCCCCCCCCAAAAAAAAAACGAACATCCTAACCCTAACCCCCATCACCCCCTAAACCTAATCCTAACACCCTAATCCTAACCCTACCACCCTGACCCTAACCCCCTGTCACTATCCCTATCACCTTACCTTGAACCCTACCACCCAAACCATAATCCCCTGACCCGAACCTTAACCCGAACACCCGAATCCCAATCCAATAACCCTAACCCTAACCCTGATCCTGACCCCCCCGAACCCCCGAACCCCCTAATCGTAACCCTAACACCCTAACCCTAACGCCATAAACCTAACACCTTAGCCCCAATACTCTCACCCCAACCCAACCACCCAGCCCAATTCTCTGGCGCATCACAGGGAAGCGGGAGGAACTCCCCCCGCCTGCCTGTCTGGCGCAACGGAGGGGGTCCGACACCCCCCCCTTTGAAAGGAGGGGTGGGGGATCCGAAATTCTCTCCCCCCCCCTCTCCGGCGTAAAGGTGGCGAGCGGGGAGGGGGGTCCGAACCCCCCACGCCCCTCTTTTGAAAGTGAGGGAGGGGGGCGGTCCGAAAACACACACCCCCTTGAAGGGGGGGAAGGGGGGGGGTCTCGTTAGCACACGACCCCTGTACAATTACAGGGGCACCCAGTGGCGCGCTTTCTTGATCTGGGCATCTTGGGATTCCCAAAAGAAGACGGCCCAAGATGGCCTCAAGAGGGCACAAGAGGCACCCAAGATGGCCCCAGAGGGCTCCGAGGCGACCTCCAAGAGCGCCTCAAGATGCCAAAAATATTGATTTCCCTGAGGTGTTTGATAGATTTTAGCGTTACCGCATTTCTGGATTCTCGGGGGCCTATGACGCCCTAAGCAACCTCCAAGATGACCCCCGTACGGCCCAAGCGGGCCCCAAGACGGCCCAAGAGCACCCCAAGATGGCCCAAAGTGGCCTACGAGACGGTCCAAGAGGCCCTCAAAACGGCCCAAGACTACCCCAAGAAAGCCCCAAGGCGGCCCCGAGCGTCCCGTGAGACGGCCTCCGAAGCGGTCAGACGGCGCAAGAGCGCCTCAAGACGGCCCAAAACACCCCCAAGACGCCCGCAAACAGGCCCCAAGCGACCCCAAGAGGCCCCAAGAAGCCTCCTGGAGGGCCCCAGGAGGCTCCCAGGAGTCTCCACAACGACTGCACTGTGCGTGGTCCGGACGAGCACCCCGCGAAGCGAAAGGAACCCGCGTCTGGACTGCAGGCGCAGCCTCTCGGCAGTGCGGAGAGGACAGGTGTGTGACGCACAAGGGCCAAGTCACGATGCCTCAAGAAAGCCAACTTGCCATACGGTGAGGTCACTGGTTAAGGAACATTTAGAGAAGGAACCCAGGGTCTGAGGCCGGTGGAAATCCAGTTGTGGATTGGCCATGGATATCCCCACCGCCCTGGTCAGATAAGGAATCCTCCACGGTCTGAAGTCTCTTAGGCACATTTCTTAATTAACGCCCCCACCATACGTGGTCATTGTATCCTTTGCCAACCAAGGACCCCGCCGAATCACCGACTCATTCCGCAAATCCCGCAAAAAACATATCCCGGCAAAGCAACCTAACAGCGATGTGTAGGAGCAGATCTGGAAGCATTCCCCTTAAGATTCAGATGAGAATCCAGTTGTAGAATTCTGCTGTTCTCGCAGTCGTAGTCGCATTCGCGATGACAGTCGCAGTGGCAACGGCAGTCGCAGTCACAGCCTCAGCCTCAGCCTGCCTCAGCCTCAGCCTCAGCCTGCCTCAGCCTCAGCCTGCCTCAGCCTCAGCCTCAGCCTGCTTCAGCCTCAGCCTCAGTCTGCCTTCAGCCTCGGCCTCAGCTTCAGCCTCAGGCCTCGGCTCAGCCTCAGCCTCAGCCTCAGCCTCAGCTTGCCTCAGCATCAGCCTGCCTCAGCCTCAGCCTCAGCCTGCCTCAGCCTCAGCCTCCTGCTTCAGCCTCAGCTTCAGTCTGCCGTCGGCCTCGGCCTCAGCCTCAGCCTGCCTCAGCCTCAGTCTGCCTTCAGCCTCAGCCTCAGCCTCAGCCTGCCTCAGCCTCAGCCTCAGCCTCAGCCTCAGCCTCAGCCTGCCTCAGCATTGGCAAAAAATGTGGCCCGGGAATGGAGTTCTGGGAACTCGAAGAGCACGAAGTGGCCTACAGTTGGCTCCGGGCATTCAAAATGTGGCCCGGGAATGGAGTTCTGGGAACTCGAAGAGCACGAAGTGGCCTACAGTTGGCTCCGGGCATTCAAAATGTGGCCCGGGAATGGAGTTCTGGGAAGTCGAAGAGCACGAAGTGGCCTACAGTTGGCTCCGGGCATTCAGAATGTGGCCCGGGAATGGAGTTCTGGGAGGTCGAAGAGCACGAAGTGTGTGACTGTATGCGAAAAACGATCCCCCCCGGCAAACCCCAACGGCCCCCCAACGCTCCCCAACGGCTGCCCAGACCCCGCTGTGGAGTAATGTGCTGCTCTCTTTTTAGCCCATTAGAAACCTATCAGTCTACGCTGTTAGGTAAAAACAGCAGACCTCCAAGAAAACGAATGACTTTAGCCTCTTGGGCCCCTTAGGGGTCCAACAGGGCCTCAAGACGGTTCAAGATGGCTTCAAGACGGGTCAACACGGCCCCAATACGTCCCAAGATGGACCCGAGAGGATTCAAAAGGCCTCCAAGATGGCCCCAGAGGGCCCCAAGGGGACCCCCAACAGCGCCTGCAGAGGCTAAACAACATGCCTTTCCATATGTATCCCGATGCTGTACAAGAAGCCACTAAGAGGGCCCCAAGACTGCCACGGTGGACCAACTAGTGTGGTCGCGGACTGCGTTGGGATTCCGTGGGGCATAATCCATCGTGGCCCTCGTGCAGCAACACCAGAGGTTTTCAAACACCTCAGAGAACCCTTCAGCGTACGCTGTTCAGTTTTACTCTGCCGGGAGCCCGCGGCGAGTATGACTGACGAAGACATCGTCGACTCGGTACTCGCGGAATCGCCCTCGCAATCCCGACGAACACTCACGGCATCTTCGCTGCAACCCTGGGCGACGGCTGGCTGCCAGCGAGGGTCCCTGCCCCCGGGGGCCAGCCAGATCTGCCAAGCGGCGGCGACTCCGACCAGCCACAACTGGGGGAGCTGTGGTCCTTACCCCCCTGGGGGAACCCATCGCAGCGACGACCTCTCGAGAGGGGTATCGAAATCGATGGGTCCCCCAGGGGGGTAAGGACCACAGCTCCCCCAATTGTGGCTGGCCTGCGACCCTCTGGACTCCTGCGTGGGGACCCCTCCGCCCGCGCGTCCTGCGCAGCGTCCCGCGCGGCGTGGTCGGCGCATGCCGTCAAGCCCTCGGACGACGAGAGCCAGCCGTCGCCGGCAGGCGGCGGCCAGGCGGGCTCCCCCGCGGCCCCCCGCGACGGGGGCCCGGCAGTCGGCAGCCAGGCCGTCCGCCCCGTCGGCGCAGCCACGGCGCCCGAGCTGGGAGGCGCGCCGTGCAGCCGCCGCGTGCCGCCCTCGCCGCTGCCGCCGAGCTGGGCGCCGGGGCTGACCTTGGGCCACTCGAGCAGCACGCGCAGCTCCGCGAGCGTGACGGACTCGCCAATGATGTGGCACGTGCCGTCCTGCCGGCCGATCCAAGGCATCAGGGAGTCTGGCAGGCAATTCGGGCGGGGGGGGGCGCCGGGCGCTGGTGCGAGCGGGGGGAATCGCCCTCCCGCGGCGCCGCGCAAGCCCAAACATCCAACCTGGCGATTTTCCCGTAGTAAGCCCTGGAGCTCTCGAGCGCTTCAGAAGCACAAAACTGTTGCCGCTGGCCCACGGCAGCACTTTTGTGTTTGTGGATCTCCGGAACCTGGAGCCCGCCCAACAACGGCCCCAGGACGGCAGGTCTCGGGACGGGCAGAGAGCGGCGGCGCAGCAACATGTGACAACGTCAGCACACCCTGGAGTATCTGAGCACGGATGAGAAGGAGGCGGAAGAGGACGGGAAGAATGAGGAAAAGGAGCAGGGTGGACGAGAGCGAGGAGGAAAAGGAGGATAAGGAACAGACGGGGAGGCGGAAGAGGAACACGCGCATCGACGAGCAGGAGAAGCGAGGTGAGCAGCCGAAGCAAGTACAACGAGGAGGCATTCTTGGTTCCTCTGTCCATCCAAATACCGTCGCAAGGACGAGGTCGCGCGCCAGCTTCTCTCTGCCGCGGCTACGCGCGCTCCTGTTACGGCCCAGGCGCTGGAAGAGCAAGAGAGCACTGCTCCGAGCCGGAAGCTCTCGCCAGCAGCATGACGCCTGCGCTGCACGGCCCACGCGGGCACTCACGGTGCGCGGGCGCGCCGCCAGGCCCGCTGGCGGCCACCAGCAAGGCAAGCCCAGGCTCGGGGCGCGGCGTACGAGCATCTTCTTCGAGAGGAGTGGGGCGAGCCAGCACAGGCCAAGGGCACGAGGGCCCAAGCGAAGACACCAGGAAACGGGCCAAAAAGGCAGCGCATCGGTCCAACTCGAGTGGCCAGTGCGCCTGCGGGGCGAGCCAGGGCGGGGGAGGAAGTGCGCCATGATAGCGGGGAAGATGTCTTAGACTTCGTCCTCGCGGCAGCACAGCCAGAGCATCGCCACGTCCCGGCCCCCTCCCAGAGCGTGCGTGCGGCAGCGACCTTGGCGTCCTCGGCGGCCCCTGGGCCTGCAAGGAAGTTTTAGCCGTCTATGGTTAGGTCGGGCGCGTCCTCCTACAGGCGGATTCTGGACGAAAAATACAGACTAGTCAAAAATAATTGAAGAATATTCCAAAATCGTCCCCAGACTATTTTCTGACTACTTCTGAATATTCCTCCTGTAGAAGGACATGCCCGACTGAAGTCTATGGGCGCCACGGCGCCGCACCATCAGCACGGCGCAGTCAGCCGCAAGCGCGCCCCAGGGCGCATTGCGCGGCATGCGAAGTGCAGGTCGCCGGCATCGGCGAGCACGCTGGCGCCACGGCGCGGGCCCTGGCTCAGTGCCCGCTGAACCACAAGACATCGCCCTCGCGCTTCTGCAGCACCGGGTCGACGGCATCACGCAGGCAGCGCCAGACCGTTCTCTTCCTCGCCCGTTTTGCTGAGCGCGCCGTACCCCGGCAGCAGAGGCTGTCCCTACGGCTACACGTCGGAATACCCGGCTGCTCCCGCTCTCGCTGTCGTGCGTCCGCTTGCCGTTCCACCCGTACTGCTGCCACCACTTGAGCTACGCCTTCCGCAGCTGCACCCCATGCCTCAGCCCCTGGGTGTGGCCGCGGTGCCGCTCTGCGACTACTGCCAGGCTGCTCAGCAAGGGCTGGCCGCACTGGCCACTCCTGTCGAAGACATTCGCGCAATGAGTGTCCTCCCTCTTTCTCCCGGCTCTGCGGCCCCCCTCTGCCCCCTTCTCCTTCCTTGCCGCTGGGCAAGTAGTTCTCCCGCTCCCGGCCAACTCGAGCGCGCGTGCGGATCGCATCTGCCGCACTGCTGCAACGGAAACAATGTTTGCGGGGCGCATGGGCGCATGGCGCCAGCGCACCATGAGCTCAAGCGCTGAAGCCTGGGATCGCCCGGTCCCGCGCGCGCTGCTCGAGCGCGGCCGCCCATGTGCCGTTGGTGGGATCGTTTTCCACCGCCACCACCACAAGTAGGAGGGGGAGGGGGTCCTCCTCCTCCTCCTCCTCCTCCTCCTCTTCTTCCTCTTCTTCCCCTCCAACTCATGGTGGTGGCGGTGGAAGACAAGCCCATAAGCCATGACACTCTCGCGCGACTCGTCGTAATCGGGCAGACAGGGCCAGTTGCAGGAGAATTGGAACGCGGGCGCCCGACCCGAACGAAGCGCCACTTGTGACAGATCACGAGCGCCGCCATCCGCAAACCCGTGTGGGGCGGCGTCTGCGCGGCACTCCCCGAGTCCGCCCCGGCCACGGGCCGCGCCGCGCCGCAGCGAGCCCCAAGGGGAGACCCGTGCGCGCAGGGCGACCGGCGCGGCTGCGATGGGCATGCCCGGGCTTGGCGGCGCGCACAAAGGGGGGTGGGGGGAGGGGGGAGGGCTTCTCAGAAGGAGGCTGCTTCTTAGCAGGCGCCGGCCTCACATCCATAGAGATGCGGCCCGCGCACCTCCGAGAAGCAGGGGTGCTTCTAGGAAGCCCTGGGCCCTCCCCCCCCGCCCCCCCCCCTCTTGGTGCGCGTGGCCGCTGGGTGCTCCGTGGCTGCGAGCGCGCTGATCCCGCGGTCCTCTGCGCTCGGGGGCCTCCGCCTGCCCGAGGAGGAGGCCCGTCGTGCGGGCGGGCGCCCGCCTCCACCGCGGGTGGCGTGCTGACCCAGAGGCCCGCCGTGGACCCTCGTCTCGCTGCTGGCCGGCCTCCTCTCTCGCCCCCTCCTCCCTCCACCTCCCTCCACCTCCCTCCTCCCTCCTCCCTCGCCTCCCCTCCTCCTCGCTCCGCCTCCCTCCCTCCACCTCCCTCCCTCGGTCCCTTCCCGCCTCCCTTCACCTCCCTCCCACCTCCCTCCTCCTCGCCCCTCCTCCCTCCACCTCCCTCCACCTCCCTCCACACCCCATCGAGGAGGCCCCCGTCGGGGGGTGGGGCCTCGACTATTTTTCGGTGGGGAGGCTGGGCCAGGCGGTGGCGAGAAAGTGGTGGATCCCCGTGTGGTCCAATGCGCCACCCGCCGGGCCCAGCAAGCAGGAAGGAGCACGCCGAGCGCCATGCCCCTCGTCGCACACACACACACACACACACACTCACACACACACAAACTCACACTCACACAAACTCACACTCACACTAACACACACACCACCTCCCTCCTCGCTCCTCCTCGCTCCATCTCGTTCCTCGTCGCTCATCCCCATCCCTTCCCAGCGAGCAGGCGGGCCAGGGTCAGGGCAACATCACTCTAAGCTGGACATCCCGCCTCTCAACATATTGCTACGGGGGCATGATGTGTAAGGAGCCGGGTCCTTCAATTAATCCCGCTGCCTTCTCTCAGGAATGACCCCCCGAATTGACAATGACCCCTTTTGCTCGCCGTCACTGATACCCCCGGCCATGGACCCAGACCCTCGCAGAAGGACTCCAGGCCGATTCGGCATCTGAGTGGTGACGGGGCGGTGGCAAGTGGCTGAGCCCACTCGGCCCCAGGATGGGCTGGATCCGGATTCTGGCCATAGGCTCACACACCGAATACGCTCACCACGGCAAGGACCTGGCGGGGGGTCGGGGGGTGTCCTGGTCGCCCCTCCGGAACACTCCAGAAACCATTCAAAGCGGCCGGAAATCTTCCCAAAACAATCCAAACCATCCATCCAAGACCTCCAAGAAAAACTGGCAAACCTCCGCAAGCTCAAAAACTTCTAAAAGGGATCGCGGGAAATCTGCTCCAAACAGATCCCCAAATCATGGCCCGTTTACTGAGCCGCGTCCAGCCGTGGGACGAGGGCCGCCCGAAGGCACAGAAAAGGAGGAGCAAAAGGAGGAGGAGGGGGAGTTGGAGTTGGAGGAGGAGGGTTCGGCCAGTCCTGGGCCACATTCGGGAGCTGCTCCTCGACAACGTCGACACAGTGTTCCGCGTCGGCGGGCTGCTGTTGGTCGAGGATGGGCGGAAGGTGTCGGGGGGCATGCAGGCCGTGCAGGCCGTCCTTCTCGGGCGTGGGAAGGCCATCCTCCTCCATCGTCCCCGCTCCCTCGTCGTCCTCCACCTCCACCTCCACATCCTTTTCCTCCGATTCCACCTCCACCTCCTCCTCCTCCTCCTTCTCCTCCTCCTCCTCCTCCTCTTCCTCCTCCTCCTCCTCCTCCTCCTCTCCTTCCTCGTCCTCCCCTTCCTCCTCCTCCTCCTCCTCCTCCGCCTCCTCTTTTTTATTCGTATTATTCTTACTCTTCGTCTTATTATTCTTATTATCACTATTACCATTCTTGATATTATTATTAGTTTCATTGGAATCCTTATCATTAATATTGGTACTATTCTTCTTGTTCTCATTATTAGTATTATTCTTAATATGCATACTAATATTATTATCCTTATTACTCTTATTGCTATTATTATCATTATTCATCCTACTCTTCTTATTACTATGATCATTCCTCCTCCTGCTCCTCCTCCGCCTTCCCGCGAACACCATCGCCGTCCCAACCATCACCCTTATCGTCAACGCCACCACCATCATCACGAAACACCACTCGTCCCAACCATCATCACCACCACCGCCAGGACCGACATCTTTACCATCACCGTCATCATCACCATCGCCATCACCACGAGGAGGGAAGGAGGGGAGGGGAGGGATGGGGAGGAGGGGAGGAAGGGAAGAGGGGAGGGGGGAGGAGCTTTGGCGCCATCACCACGAGGAAGGGAAGAGGGGAGGGGGGAGGGAGGAAGGGAAGAGGGGAGGGGAGGAAGGGAAGAGGGGAGGGGGGAGGAGCTCCGGCGCGGTAGTCGCCCCCAGCCGAACGTCTCGGCCCGTTACCACGAGGAGGGAAAAGGGGGGAGGGGGAGGGGGTTGGAGGCAAGCCAGGTGCGCTCGCGTCATATCTGACGTCCTACCCCTCCCTCCCATCCCTTACCATGGCGTAGATCTCCTCGCTATTCGCACAGTCGGATGTCGAGCAGGGCAGTGATCGCGAGAAGGTGCGCGATAAATCGTAGAGCGCGGCATGGCATTGGCGTAGAAGAGCATGGCAGAGCGTAGAATGTCATAGCATGGCGTGGCATTGCTGCGTAGTGAAGCATTGCATCACAAAGCATTGCAACGCAAAGCATGGCATCGCACAGCGGCGCAGAACAGAACACCGCACAGCATGTCATGGCAGGGCACCGGGCTCCTTGGAGGGTAAGTGGATACTCTTCGAAGGGCCTGGGCCAGTCTGGAGTCGCGGCTCCATGGTTAGCTCCGCGCCGCGAAAAGCTCCCCACAAGGCGGGGCTGATGGAGAGCACCCGCTGGCTCCTCTTGCGACATCGCCTTCTGAAAGCAGAATCGGGGCTCCCGCTTGATATTTCCACCGAACGCCGCCGCACCGAAGTGTGGGGGGGGCCTTCTGCGGACCAAAATCTCAACGAATCGACACCGGATGTGAAATCACTTGCGATGTTTTTTTCCTTTCTAGATGTGGAGCCTACTTGGAAGGACGGAAAACGCCCGCGCTGCAGCGGGAGTACGTTTTGGAACAACCAGAGGCGCAGAAACGGGGCCAGCGCTGCAGCGGGAGCAACAGTTTGAAGGACCAAAAAGAATCGGATTGCCAAAAACTAATATGACAACCAGGAAATGAGGCCAACGATTCAGAACGAACGGAGGCGCGGAAATGAGGCCAGCGCTGCAACGCACGATTCGGAACGAGCGGAAGGTCGAAAATGAGGCCAGCGCTTCGGCCGGAACAACATTTTGAAAAAAACAGCGAAAACCCAGATCCCGAATCCTGGGTGTCAAGGACAATACGCGGAGGGAGGCCGAAGCTCTTCTGAGAGAGGAGAGTGGTCTTCAGATTGTCTATAACTGTGCAGGGAGGAGGGGAGGAGCGGGGAGGGGAGGAACGAGGCAGGAAGGGAGGGGGAGGCTCGGCCGCCATCGCCCGCCCGGGCGGAATGGCCAGATACTCCAGCAAGGATTACGGGAGAGAGGGAGGGAGGGAGGGAGGAGGAGGAGGAGGAGGAGGAGGGATGGGGACGGAGAGGAGGATCGTTCACGACGACCGTCGCTCTCGACCACTTGGCATTCTCCAGGCGAGCGGCACTGCGATTCAACCACTGGGCCACTGGGGGAGGGGAGGGAGGATGAGGGAGGACAGGAAGTGGCGGGAGAGGAAGAGGATCGCTCGCGACGACAGTCGTTCTCGACAACTCGTCGCCCTCCAGGCGGGCGACGCTTGGAGAACTAGGCAGACTAGGCACACTACTCGATGGGGAACGATGCTGGCCAGACGCGTTGGGCACAGCAGATCCGAACTGCTTGGCGATGCTACCAAGAGAACGCGCAGGTCTGACCAGCACACTGCGGGAGGGAGATCTGCTGCAATAACTCGTCTGCACTCAAACGCGAGTCTGCCTGGAGCGGGTATGGGGGCGTCCCATCGAAGCAGGGGCGGAGACAGGGGAACTCGAGCGAACGCGACTGACAGAGGCTACTCGGCGGTCAGACTGATCTGCTGCGGGCGGCTCCATGGGGCTCACCTTTGGAGCAGCCAGCTGAACACATGTACGCGCCGAGCGTTGCGTGTGTTACGGCTGCCATCCTGGGAGCGGGGTCGGCTTCTGCGAGCAGGAGCGATCGACCTAGAACGCGAACATGCTGAGCGAGCTGACGCCTGCACAGAGGCCACGGGGCCGCGTGTGGCACGGCTCCACCGATCAAGGCCGGGGCGTCCACCGAGGATTGGGCCCACGCAGACCTGTGGGAGTTGATCGTTCCTCACTGCCGCAGCGACGCGCTAGCCGCGCGATGGATTAACGGGCACCTTGACGCCGCGGAGGCCCAGGCACGAGGTGTGTCGCCAGAGGACCGCTCCGGCAACGCCGCGGCCGACCGCCTCGCCGGGGCGGCAGCCGAGGCCCGGCTGCCTCCGCTGGCGCTGCGCCAGGAGCGCGAGCTGCAGCTGATCGCGCTCATGGCCGTGCAGCGCGTTCTCGCCGCGGTGGAGCTCGCGGCGCTCAAGGCCAACCACGGGCATGGCCCTGGTGGCCCGCGCGTGCGGCGGCGCTGGGCGCAGGCGGGGCATCGCCACCGCCGCGTGCACCGCGTGGCGGACGACGCTGCGGTGGCGGCCGCGGTGGCCCCAGAGGCGGAGCAGGGACAGGCGCGCGCAGGGCGGCCGCCGCGGCGAGGGCGCTGTTCGCCTGCAGCGCTTGGCGGGGGCACGTCGCCTCCCAAGGGCCCGCTTGGGTGGCCTGCGTGGCGTGCGGGTGCTGGGCCCCGCGCTGGGAGCGCCTCGCGGGCCGCCCGTGCAGCGGATGGGCGCCGCACCTGCCCCCGCGGGCGGCCGGCCTGCTGCTCCTGGATGCCCCGCGCGCCGGGGGCCGCGAGGCGGCGTGGCGGGCGGCTGTGCGACGGCGCCTGCTGGAGCGCCCGGGCGCGCCAGACTAATTAGTTAATTAGTTGCGCGGCGGCCGCGTTGGGCTGCCGCTGGCCCCTCGCGCTCGCCGGGGCGCGCTGCTGTGCTTTCTTGTTTCCCCGCCTCCCCCTCCTCCTCCTCCTCCTCCTCCTTCCTCGTTTCCGGCTTCTCTGCGCTCTGTTGTCACCCGTTCTCGCCGCTGGGCCCCCTACGGATGGTAAAAAAAGTGTGTTACGGCTGCCATCCTGGGAGCGGGGTCGGCTTCTGCGAGCAGGAGCGATCGACCTAGAACGCGAACATGCTGAGCGAGCTGACGCCTGCACAGAGGCCACGGGGCCGCGTGTGGCACGGCTCCACCGATGGAGATGATGCGGTGCCTGAACTGAAGGAGGTACGGCGTCTCCTGCTGAAACTGCATGTGCTGGCAGCCGCCGCATGACGCAGCATTTCTGTCCACGTCCCAGGCGGGCGGCCCTGGGTGGGGCGCTCCTCCTCCTCCTCCTCCTCCTCCTCCTCCTCCTCCTCCTCCTCCTCCTCCGCTCCGCTCCTCTCCTCCTCCTCCTCCTCCCTCCTCCTCCTCCTCCTCCTCCTCCTCCTCCTCCTCCTCCTCCTCCCTCCTCCTCCTCCTCCTCCACCATCTTCTCCGCCTCCTCCTCCTCCTCCTCCTCCTCCTCCTCCTCCTCCTCCTCCTCCTCCTCCTCCTCCCGTGTGGCTGCGGCGCTGGCCAGGGCGGCAGCTCTGAGGGCGGCCCAGGGGCCGGCGGCCTCAGAGGGGGCCCCCGCGAGAGCGGCCTAACGAGTGGTGGCCCAGAGGCGGGCGGCCAGGGGGCGGCGGCACCACTAGTGGCCCAGGCACGGGCCAGCTGGCATAGAGCGGCCCTGGAGGGGGCGTCCCCAGCGAGCAGGGGTGGCAGCGGCGCCTGCCTGGTGCGCTGCGCCCATGCGTGTCGGGGGCGGCGGCGGGGCTGGCGCCAGCGGATGCGCCTGCCTACCAGCGGGCGCAAAGAATGGCTCAACAAGAGGCGGCCATGGCGGCGGCAGCGGGCGAGGCCGCAGGCCAGGCATGTGGCGGACCTCGCAACGAACTGTCTCGGAGTTCGCTGGAGCGTCGCGCATAGGACCAATCCAGAATGTTGCGTGTGCTGAAAGGGGTAACACGGCTGCGGCTACGCTCGAGTCTGGAGAGGGGGTGGGAGAGTAGAGGGAAGAGGCACTCTCATAGGTCCTCCCCGAAACTGGCGGGGTCCTGCTCGTGCCGCGACGCGAGCAGGTGCCGGGGCGCCGGCAGGCTGCTCAGCCTGGCCAGGACGCCCCCGTGGTCCTATCGACGACGAACGACGACGACGACGATGACGACGGCGACGGCGGCGGCGGCGGCGACGACGACGGCGACGGCGGCGACGATGACCACGACCACGACGACGAGGACGACGACGAACAACGAGGACGGCGACGAGGTCGACAACACCAGGACGACGACGACGGCGACGACGACGAGGACGGCAGCGGCGACGGCGAGGGCGGCGGCCACGACGACAACAATGACGACGGCGGAGGTGGAGGCGACGGCGACGGCGACGACAACGATGGCGAGAGCGACGGCGAGGGACGGGGATGAGGACGAGGACGGGTAGGGCGCATGGGGAGGGAGGAGAAGGATAAGGAAGGACAAGGGGAGACGGAGGAAGAGGAGGAGGGGAATGGAGGGAGGGGAGGGCGAACGGGGAGGGTGGGCAGGAAGCAGGTGGTGACGGAGGCAGGACAGGAGGGGGAAAGAGGGGGAGCAGGAGGAAAATCACGAGGCTGAGGAGGAAAGACAGAAGGACTCCTCCTGTTCCTCCTCCTCCTCCTCCTCTTCCTCCTCCTCCTCCTCCTCCTCCTCCTCCTCCTCCTCCTCCTCTCCGAGGAGGAGGAGGAGGCGGAGCGGGCGAAGGCGAAGGCCGAGCGCGCGAGGAGCGCTCTTGGCCGGCCGGTCTCCTCCATCCACCACGCAGAGCGCGGGCCCGACCCTGGCCTCTCGGACGGGGAGGACACTCGAGAGGGGGGAGCCGCCCCTCCACTTGGACATTCGAGAGGGGGGAGGACATTCGAGAGGGGGGAGGACATTCGAGAGGGGGGAGGACATTCGAGAGGGGGGAGGACATTCGAGAGGGGGGAGGACATGCGAGAGGGGGGAGCCTCCCCGGCCTCCTATCTCCATCCTCCCTGCACCACAGCCCCTCCCTCCTCACCCCTCCTCCAGGCAAGTGTCCACGAAGCGCGTTCTCTCCAAGGAAAGGGGGTGGGCAAAAGGGGGAGGATGAGCAGGGAGAGCGGGAGGGAGGGAGGCTTCGGTCTGCCGGATGAGGCCGGGCCTTGGCTCTCCTGGCCTGGGCAAGACCGAGGGACCGCCGAGCACAGCTTACCGCCCCCCTCCCTGCGCCTCAAGTCCTCCTTCCTCACCGTCGCTCCTCCTCCAGGCCGTTCTGGCACTGGCACACGTTTTGCCTTTGCTTGCAGCCGCCGACTTCAGTACGGCTCGCGTCTGCGAGCCAGATGGCCTACGATGGGTGGGCGTCACTTTCGTTAGCTGTTGCCCCTGCTGGCGCTTAACGCAACAGAGGTCATACCAGCCGTAGGCACACTCCGCCAAACGGGAATATCAGCATTGCGCTTGCTCCCGCAACTTAGGTACCTGGTGTTTTGCAAGCATTGATGCTCCTCCTGGTCGCCAAGCGCGTCCATGGGAGAAGATGCTAAAAGCAGGCTCGGTTGCATCTATGCTTCACGCAGGAGCCAGCCAGTCGACGTACACCCTAAAACCGATCGAGGCGTTGGCCAAGCCCTTTGGCGATCGAGCAAGGTCCCTTAGTGATCGAGACCTGCTTCAACAAATCCAACGAAAGGTGGCAACGGCTGCGGATCAGGCGGTTCCAGCTCATCCGCCGCTGTAGCAGCAGCAAGCCACGGTCTACGGCAAGTGTAAGCAGCTCGAGCGCCAAGTGTCTTCCGAACTCAATCAGCGCGGGAAGTGGCGCAGAAGTGGATCGAAGACAAGAGGAATGCCCGCGATATCAGCTGCACAGAGGCAATACGCCGAACTGGAAGCACGATAACAGCTACACACTAAAAAGACAACGACCTTCACAAGAAGCAGCACATGCTAGCAGCAGCACCGCAGCCAAGTCTTTCGAGGTCACCCCGCGGGACCCGGCTTCGGGCAAGCAACCCGTCGTCGAGGTCATCGGCATCGGCCAATTGTTCCAGGCGTGCGGTTGCCACGTCACGGGACACATTGGCGGTGCAGCTGGTCAGTCCGCTGGTGGCGGCGTGGCGGCGGTGGCCCCAGCTCCTCCTACGCCATCTGCAGATCCCGCCGCAGGGCGGTTGCAGAGGCGAGGGCTTGCGTGACACTCCTGTGCGCGAGCGAGCCAGCAACCGATTGGAAGGTCCGCCAAACCAAACACATACACCTTGCCGCATAGGCTGTGCAGGTAGGCGGGGAGGGGGGGGCGGGCAGGCCTCCCAAAGTTCGGCATGACGTGAAGCGACCAGTGTCCTCGGGGTCAGCAGCTTCTTCCAGCGCCCAGTCATCGTGCTGGACTTCCCCTCATCAGTGGTTGGGCCCCAAACCAGCCCAGATTCAGCTTCCCCCCTCTGCCTCATCACTGGCAGTTGAGAAGCACCAAGGCGTTGTTTTCATCATGTTGTTCAGGCGCCAATGCGCTGTTAGTCCAAGAGCGTATACGTGACCCTGAGATCTGGTGACGCGACTTCAAGCAGGGGTATAGCCCAAGAGCGGAAACAAACTGCTCACCACATGAACGTGGATAGAGACCGCATTCCCTGCGCACCCCTTTCTGGTGGCGAGGAAGTGCCATCCCTGCCAAGCCCTCGACGGTGGAACGAGCAGACAACGCACCCACCCGCGCCCCATCTGGTGGCGAGCAAGTGCCCCCTGCCACGCCCTGGGATGGAGGGACGTATAGAGACCGTATCCGGCTCTGGTGGCAAGGACGTGCCACCCCTGCCAAGCCCCGGACGGTGAAACGGACAGAGACCGCACACCATGCGTACCCTTTTGGTGGAGGGTGAAGCGAGCACTGCACCCCATGCGCACCCCCTCCGCTGGCGAGGAAGTGCAACATCTGCCACTCTGTAGAATCTTGACGGATAGTAGTGACCGCGCCCCCTGTGCACCCCCTGTAGGCGAAGAAGTGCCACCCCTGCCACTCCCTGGGGGCGCGACGCGGATAGAGACCGCACCCCCGTGCGCACCCCCTCTGGCAGCGAGAAAATACCACCCCTGCCACAACCTGGAAGCGCGACGCGGATAGAGACCGCACCCTCTGCGCACCACCCCTGGTGGCGAGGAAATGCCACCCCTGCGACGCCCTGGACGGCGGGGGGGGGAGGTAGAGCCCGCACTCCGTGCGGACCCACTCTGGCGGCAAGGAAGTGGCATCTCTGCCACGCCCTGGGCAGTGGGACGGACGGAGACCGCACTCCCTGCGCACGTCCAGGGGTGCACTGCCTCGCCCCCTGCACCCCCCCTCTGGCGGCGAGGAAGTACGACTCCTGCCACGCCCTCGGCGGAGGGACGGTCAGAGGCCGCACACCCATCGTACCCCCTCCCCGCGGAAGGGACGTGCGCTCCCCCCCCCACCCCGTGACCTCCTGGACAACGAAACTGATTGTGGCCGCTCGCCGTGCGCACACGCACCCCCCCCCCCTGGCTGCGAGGAAGTGCCACCTCCGCCACGCCGTCGATGGCGAAACGGATAGAGACCGCACTCCGTGAAAATCCTTTGTGGTGGCGAGGAAACGCCACCCCTGTTACACCCTGGACGGTGGGACGGAAAGAGACCGCATCTCGTGCGCACCCTCTCTGGACGCGAGGAAGCGCCACCACTGCCTCGCCCTGGACGGTAGCATGGATAGAGACACTCCCCGCGCGCACCCCCTCTGGTGGCGAGGAACAACCACCACTGCCACGACCAGGACAGTCGGACGGAAAGAGGCCGCACCCCGTGCGCATCCCCTCTGGCGGCGGCGGCGAGGAAGTGACATCTATGCCACGCCCAAGGCAGTGAAACGGATAGAGACCACACCCCGTGCGAACATGCCCTGGCGCATGCGCGTGTACAGTGGTATGTGTATGTGCGCATGTACAAGCGCATGTGCATGTATGACGTGCATGTGCATGGCTATGCCTGTATGTGCGTTGAAGACTGCGCATGCGAAGAAGAGGGAGGGGAGGTGCATGTGAGGAAACATCCCCCCACCTCCTCCTCCCCGTGCTCCCCTTCATGCTCAGCCTCCTCGACTTCCTCCTCCTCTTCCTCTTCCTCCTCTTCCTCCACTTCCTCCACCTCGTCCTCCTCCTCCCCCTCCTCCTCCAAATCCTCTTTTTGTTCCTCCTTCTCGTCCTCCTCCTCCTCCTCCTCCTCCTCCTCCTCCTCCTCTGCTTCCTCCTCCTCATCGTCTTCCATGTCCTCCTCCTCCTCCTCCCCCATCCTTCCTCGTCCCCCCCCTCCTCGTTATCATCCTTCCTCCCTCCTCTGTCCCTCCCTCCCTCCCGCCCCTCCCCACCCCCCACCCCATCCGTCCGCACCGCGTCCACCTCATCCTCCTTTTCCCCCTCCTCCTCCTCATCCTCCCCCTCCTTCTACTGATCCCCTCCTCCTCCTCCTCCTCCTCCCTCTCCTCCTCCTCTTCCTCCTCCTCCTCCTCCTCCTCCTCCTCCTCCTCTTCCTCCTCCGCCTCCGCCTCCTTCTCCTCCTGTTCTTCCTCCTCCTCCTTCTCCTCCTCCTTCGTCCCACCTCGTCCCGTCCTTCGTCCCGCCTCGTCCCCTCTCCTCCGCATCATCATTACCCTGTCCTCCTCATTTGTCCCTCCCTCCCTTCCGCCCCCTCACCACGTCCAGCTGCTCCTCCCCCTCATCAGAACCACCGCCATCACCACGTCCATCATCAGCAGCATCATCACCAACAACACCATCACCATCAACAGCATCAGCATCAACATCATCACCCGCAACATCAGCATCATCATCAGCATCGTCACACGCGGCATCCGCATCCGCATAATCATCATCATCATCATCATCATCATCATCATCATCATCATCATCATCATCATCATCATCATCATCATCATCTTCATCATCGTTAACACCCGCAGCATCCTCATCAGCAGCAACATCAGCAACAACACCATCATCACCAGCACCATCACCGTCATCATCGTCAGTATCGTCACACCACCACCATGACCACCACCATCATCATCATAAGTACCAACATCATCACCACAAAAAACATCATCAGCATTATAATCACCAGCAGCAACACTAGCAGCATCATCATCATCAGGAGCAACAGCATCATCAGCACCATCATCCGCATCGTCATCATCAGCATCATCACCACCACCACCAGCGTAATCCCCATCAACACCAGCAACAGCATCGCCCTCAGCATCGTCATCAGCCTCATCATCATCATCATCGTCATCAGCACCATCATCATCGTAATCATCATCAACACCATCATCACCAGCGCCACCATCATAATGATGATCATCACCACCACCATCATAATCAACATCATCATCGCCACCAACACCATCGTCATCATCATACTCATCATAAACAGCATCATCAACATCGTCAGCAGCGCAATCGTCATCACCATTATCGAAGCCATCGCCAATACCACCATCACCGACGACATCATCACCAGCACCATCATCATCATCCTGACCATCATCATCACCACCATCACCAGAATGATCATTATCGACGTCGTGAGCATTCTCATCATCGTCAGCAGCAGTACCATCATCATCATCATCATCATCATCATCATCATCATCATCATTGTCACCATTGGCATCGTCCGCACCAGCGTTACCATCATCATCAGCAGAATCACCGTCATCAGCATCATCATCTGCATCATAATCATAATATGTTCCTGCTCTTCCTCCTCCTCATCATCATATTCACACTCAGCCTTTAGCTCATGCTCCTCTTCCCCTCCTCCTCATCGTCATCCTCATCCGAATCCTCCACCTCGTCCTCCTCCTCCTCCTCATCCTCCTCATTCTCTTCCTCCTCCTCCTCCTCCCCCCCTTAGTCCTACTCCTATCCTTATTCCTTATTAGAATATACTCCTACTCCCCCCTCAGGCCGGCAGATAGCGGGCGCATCCGGGTGGTCCCATCCTAACCTGTAAAAAACAATACAAAATCAAATGTTTTCTTATTTTTTCCTCTCGACATGGACGTCCTGTCGTCCACGGCGATAATCCATTGCAAAAAATACCACAAAGAGCACACGCGCGCGTTCATGTCAGAATCCTACCGAACACCGTGTGTTTGCAAGCATTTCAACATAAAAACATCAAAAACCCAATGCTTTTTCACAAAAATTGTACAAATTTCCCGCCCGGGCTCTCTTGCTGAAATCATAGGAAAACCATAGGAATCTTAAGAATTCGGTCAAATCCAGCGATTTCACGTCATCGCGCGGTGCACTCGCGATGCTCTGTCATGCACCCAGGCCGCGAATCCTGTGCAAAAAATACCACAAAGAGCACACTCGCGCGTTCATGTCAGAATCCTACCGAACACCGTGTGTTTGCAAGCATTTCAACATAAAAACATCAAAAACCCAATGCTTTTTCACAAAAATGCTTTGGGGTGTCCTGTCAGACCGTCGGGCTTCCTCCGGCCACCTCTGGCTTCCTGCGGTGTACCGGGCCATTCTCGACTCGTCTGGCAATGCGTGCGCGGCATTCAACACGCGCTCGCCAGTTCCCGTCGGCAACCGCCATCGCGGCCGCATCAGCTGTACCAAACCGGCTGGCCGGTGTGACTTCGGCCCCCAGTTGTGCCAGCTTTGCTTCTTATGTTGTGGGAGGGCGGGTGGGACTGGGCATGCCATGCTTGACTCGCTCGAGCTGGCTAGCTTGACTCCTACCGTACTCCCTCCTCCTCCTCCTCCTCGTCCTCCTTCTCCCCCACCTCCTCCTCCTCCTCTCCTCCTCCTCCTCCTCCTCCTTCTCTCCTCCTCCCCTCCTCCTCCTCCTCCTCCTCCTCCTCCTCCCTCCTCCTCTCCTCCTCCTCCTCCTGTTCCTCCTCCTCCTCCTCCTCGTCGTCCTCCTCCTCCTCCTCCTCTTCCTCCTCTTCTCCGCCCTCCTCCTCCCTCCTCCTCCTCCTCCTCCTCCTCCTCCTCCTCCTCCTCCTCCTCCTCCTCCTCCCCCTCCCCCTCCCCCTCCTCCTAATTCTCGCGTTCCTCTTCCTGGGCCCCCTCCTCCTCCTCCTGCGGCGGCCGCGTGTCTGCCGCGCGCAGGAAGCGCATTGATCGGGGGCCGGCGCAAACTCCCAACCCCAGGACAAGCACGCCGCTCTGCGGCAAGCAAGCCCTGGAGCCGAGGGGGCGCGCCGACCGGGGCCTCTACCTCGCGTGCTCGGGAGCACGGCGGCGACGCGCAGCGTGGGGAAGCCGAACGCGAGCGCCGGTCGCCCGTCCCTGGCGCCGCCCGCAGCTCTGCGCCCGCCAGCCGCCGTCGGGCCCCAGCGGCCCGGCGCCCTGGGCCCCACGGCCGCGGCGCTCCGCGCTCCCGCGCTGCAGCGTCGCCGCGAGGCTCTGCCGAGTCGCCGCCAGCACGGCGGCGTCGCAGCGCGCCCAAGTGCGGAGGAGCGCATGCGCCTCCGCCCCAGCGCGCCCCGCAGTGCCTCCGGCGCGAAGGCCGTGAGAGCCCGGGTAGCGCCTGCGCTTGCGCTCCTCCCCGGCTGCCGCGGCCGCGCCGTCCCGGACGGCGCGGCTCTGGCCCGCCAGCGTCTCTGCGCCCAGGGCGGCGTCTGTGACCGCCACGTCGATAGGACACGCCGGCCGCGGGGTCGGTGAAGACCACGTCGAGGCGGGCTGCCTCGACAGAGCCGTCCGCCCGAGCCTGGTCCCAGGCGGGCGCGAACTGCTCCGTGCCCATGCCCGCTGCGCCACGGGCCTGCAGCCAGCGGGCGAGCCAGTCCCTGACGCCGTCGTGGCGGTGGCTCGTGCCGCCGCCGGCGTGGCAGCCCAGGCAGTGCCCCGGCGTCGCGGCCAGGTCGGCCCCGCAGAGCGCGCCGCTCTCCCGGCGCCGGAGGCAGGTGGCGCTGGCGCCCGCGGGCGCAGGCAGCTGTAGTCGCAGCCTCAGGGCTGGGAAGACGTGCGCATCCGCCATCACGTGGTCCTCCTCCGTCGGCGGCAGGAGCCAGCTTCCCACGCCCTTCCCGCTGGCCGAGCGGAGCTGCGCTGCGCGGTTCGGCGGCAGGGCGCCCCGGAGCCGCTGCCGGCGCGCGTGCTGCTGTGGCGCCGCGAGGGCCCGCTGCGCCTTGGCCCTCGGTTCCGCGGCGGCTTTGCGCACCTGGAGCGCGCGGCCCGCGCCCTCGGCCTCCCCCCACGCCGTCGGGCACTCCTGCTGGAAGGCCTCGAAGCTGGGCAGGCCGAGCTCCCTGCAGACGCCAGCCAGACACGCCTGCCAAGCCCTCGCAAAGGCTGGGAGCCTCCTGTGCGCGAGGCCCTGGAGGCCGAGCCCGCCGGCCTCTCCCTCCTCCTCCTCCTCCTCCTCCTCCTCCTCCTCCTCCTCCTCCTCCTCTCCTCCTCCCCTCCTCCTCCTCCTCCTCCTCCTCCTCCGCGTCCTCCTCGTCCTCCTCCTCCTCCTCCTCCTCCTCCTCCTCATCATCCTCCTCCTCCTCCTCCTCTTCCTCCACCCGCTGGTCTCTCCCTCCCCCTTCCTCCCACCCTTCCCGCCCGTCCCCCCCCATCCCTCCTCACCCCGTCCACCTGTGTTCCTCCCCTCCTCCTTCCCTCCCCCTTGCCTGGACCACGTCGGCGAGTCCAGCGCCTGGCCCTGAGCAGCCCGCCCACTGCTCGGCGACTCGGCGACTGGCGGGGGGACGCAGCGAACAACGTCCGCGCCTGTCTCGGCCGCCAGGGCCAGCGGCTTCCTCGGGAAGACGCCGTCGGCGCCGTCAGCGTCGGAGGGGGCTGTGTGGACTGGCGGGGGCCTGCGGAGGCCCTCGGGGGCTTCTGGCGGTCCCCAGAGGAGGTCGGAGATGTTCGAGACTTCCCCGGTGTTCTCAGAACTCTCTGGCGGCGGAGAACGACGATGAAGAGGAATAGGGAATGGGGCGACGACAGTCTGCTCCGACCTGCTCCTTGCCCTCCTCTCTCTTCCATCCCTCCCATGCCCCTCATGAGGAAGCCGCTGGCAACCGGGGCTGGCGGCTGCCTCAGGAGGTCACTGGGAAATCCCCCATCACCAGTCCTTCTCTTCCCACCCTCCTGGCAGCTCTACGATCCTCACTACGGCCGCTCAGATCTACCAGCCTGAGATTCGCAACGCGCTGGGCGAGCTCATAATCGGGGCCTTCGTGAGGATGGCCACGACGAAGATCGGCCCCGACCCAGAAGGCGCACGGACATCGCCCGCCACGAGGTATTTCGGGCCCGCGCGACCAGGCAACTCGAGAGACGAGGTCCCACGAGGAGATCGCGTTCGAGCACTGCCTCTGTCTTGTACGTGGCTTCCTCGGAGGCCGCTGTACTCGGAGAGTTGGCGCAACACCGAGCACGCAAACATCACCGAGACAAGAGCAGTCGTGGGTTTTTGTGTCACTTGGCCCGACCATCGAGGGCGTGGAGGTCCAGGCTGCTGGTGTTGACAGGCAGGTGGCGCTCGGAGCCTTGGACAAAGGGCGCTCCAATGCCCCTGCTCTCCTTCGACTTTGTCGCCGAGCGATGGCCATCAAGCTGACCTTTCAGACCTACGGGTACTAACGCTACGTCCCGTCGGAGGTGCACGTGGCCGACGCCCTGTCGAGAGGAGGCTTCCTCGGCGCGGCTCTGCGGACGGTCCTAACTCGCAGCAGCCGTTCGCCGCCGACCTCGGCGAGACAACCGTCAGACGATCCCCCAGGAGGCCGCGAGCTGCGAGCCCTGGTATGCGGGAGGGTGATGGTAATCCTTGTCGGCCGCCCCGGGGTCGCTGGGGCGGGACGCGATCCGCCCCCAAGAAGGGAGACCCGCTGGCCAAGGGGGGCCCGCGCCTGCGATGCTTACGCCACCCAGCCGAGGCCCAGGCTGCTGGACGGAGGCGTCACCCGCCTTCCGGCGCACTCGGCCAGCGATGGCGGACCACATGGGGAACCTTCGTCCTCTCCGGGCCCTTGGTCTGGCCTGACCTCCGCGACGAGCTCCCCCTGGCCGTCCGCAGCTGGGAGAACTTGAACGTTTAGGGGGGGGGTCTGGCTCCAGACCTCTGCTTAGTGCAACTGTTTGCAAGCGTGCGGCCTCTGGGGGAGACTCCACCCGCTCGAAACAGGCGCCAAAAAAGAGCCAAGATCTATTCCAGGGGGGAGGAGAAAGAGAGGGGGTGTTCGGGGGCCCGCGCCGATCGGCAGAACAACGAATGAAAAAACGATCACCAGGATACGGAGCTGCTTCGTGTCTCCGACGTAGCGTCGGACGGCAGGCGCGTCGCGCTTGGCCCCTGGGGGGTCGCAGCGCGGCGGCCCTTCGGGACGGCCGGACGAGCCGCGACGACCAGCTCGTCAGGATTGCCCTGGGCACGCCATGCGCTTTGCAGCTCGCGGAGCTGCAGTCGTGGCGTTGACCTAAGGAACCCTAAATAAGGAACGAAGCCCCTGCTGTTTTCCAGAAGTTGAACTTCGATTGCCCATCGAAAACCTAAGGAAAACCTGAGGCAAACTGCACATAGAACAATTAAGGGAACACTGACCCCCTCTCCAACGAAAAGAGTTCCTTCTTCAGCACCCCCACTGTACTCCAAAATGATCGTCTTTGAAGGGGCCCCAGGACACACAAATAGATACACACAAATAAAAAAATGTCCCATATTTTCCCATATATTCTGGGTTTTTGTCTTCCTCCCCACTTCCCATATTTTCCCATATTTTCTGGGAATCGACGATTAATTGTGTCTGTTTTTTTCCCCCCTCCTGAGTCTGTAACTTCCGCGCGGAACTGCCAGAGACGGTCCTCGCGGCTGGAGTGTCAGCCAGCCCGCAACCGACCTGCGGGCAGAGGCCTCCAGCTCCATCAAAGCAACCAGGAGGCAATCCAAGGGGGAGCGCGATCACGAGTGCAGTCATCGGCCTAACCTAAGGAACGATAAATAAGGAACGAAGCCCCATGTTTTCTCCAGGGGATAACGCACAAGGAACGATTGATAATGAATAACGCATAGGGAACGACAAATAGCGCATTCAAACCTAGGGAACGACCGAGCCCCTTTTGAGAAGCAAGTGTTCCTTATTCAAGCCGCTCGCTGTACTGGGGAGGGCCTTGGTGAACGGTCCCGCAGTCGACGCGGCAGCGGAGTTCATGACGGTGCAACAAGAACGAGACACGTTCCCGCAGACCAGGTGGGCAACCAGGACGACGAAGGCGGCGGCGGACGATAATAGCTGATTCTGTCGGGCGCCTCGAGGCGCTGGGAGCGACCATCTATCGACGAACGTGCCTGGCGGAGGGGCCGAACGCCCGCCGCAAGCATCAGTTGTCGCGACCTCTCTTTCACCATTCCCCACCCCTTTCGGACAACCTGGGCCCCGAGGCCGAATTTTCCCCCCTTCTTTTGCTCGCCACTCGCGAGGGGAAAATCGCACCTCCCGGGGACAGGTACACGGGTTACAGATGGCCCTCCCTGGGCGCGCCTCCGCTGCCCTCTCCAAAGGAACTCGCCCGCTTCCGCCAGCCGCCGGACCTCTGCCAACGGAGCCTCTGCCGGCTTCCGCGGAGCTTCCATCAGGTTGCGCGGGAGGGCGAGACCGCAGTCTCTCGGCCCCTTGGAGGCGACGCCCTCTGGAAGGCCCCAGATACCCAGCGTGACAAGCAATGATTTGCGACCGCCAGCAACGAAGACGGGATTGGGGTCAGTGTACAGATCTCTCTCTCTCTCTCTCTCTTTCTCTCTCTCTCTCTCTATATCTCTCTCTCTCTCTCTCTTTCTCTCTCTCTCTCTCTCTCCCCCTGGTCTTCACCAGAGTGCCTCTGGCCCGAGATGCCCCCAGCATTCCGCCCACTTTGGGCACCCCACGGAACCCTGAGCTTCGTGGAAGGCGACGCTCTGAAGCCCATGGAGGGCATCCCTCCTACAGAATCTGAGGTCACCTCAAGCAAGGGGCTTCTCTGGCAACGCCTGGCCCTCGGCGAGCCACACACACACACACAAACTCAAACATTTGCTCGCGGCGGCCAGGTGGAGTCCAACATGAGAGTGGTCCGTACGAAGTGGCCACAGCATATGCGGGGCACACGCACACACACACACACAGAGCAAACACGCACACACCGACACACAGACACACAGACACACACGCACACACACATACGCTTTCTTGGCGACCGCGGCCTCGAGCGCAGCGACGTGGGCAAGTCGAGCAGAGCAGCCCAGAACAAGCGCGCGCGGCCAGGCCCTCAGAACACACACTTGTTGCGTCGGCGGCTAGGCAGAGTCACTGCGCTGGCGATAGGGCGTTGGCAGGACGTACGAAACGCGAATTAAGCCACCATGCAAGAGGAGGAGGGAGGAGGCGCCCAGCGGCGGCGGGAGGGAGCCTCTAAACACACGCACACACACACACACACACACACTCACACATACACACATCCACACACACACACACGCACGCAGGCACGCACGCACGCACGCACGCACGCACGCACGCACGCACGCACCCACACACACACACTCACACACACACACAACACACACAACACACACAGACGCTTGCTCCCAAACCGGTCGATGCGGTGTCAGAAGGAGGGGGCCTGGCTCGGAACAACGGCGAACGCACGGCGCGCAGGAGCAGGGCGGGAGGCGCGAAAAACTCCCTACGGGCGAATACGGAGCGCGAGAGGGAGAGCCCAGATTGGTCCAAAAGCCTGGACCGTGCGCAAGAGGGGTAGGGGGGGGGGACAACCGTCGAGGCCAGCCAGAGGCGTGCTACGAAGCCCGACCTCGTCGATGCTGGAACCAGCGCCTGCGCACACACACACAAACACAAAACACACACACAAACACACACTACCGACGCGCCAACGACTCCAATCGGATCGGCGGTAAGCAAAATAATGCGGGACACGCGAAGACCAAAAGAGCCACCTGGTGAGGCTGCGCGGTAGATCCACAAACCGAGTCGGGAAGCGCCTGGCGTCGGCGAAGAAGGCTGGGCGAAGCAAGTGAGGAGCGAGCAAACGCAGGACTGGGCGGTCCAAAGCACACAGCCCGAGCAGTGCGCCACAGCTGCAAGCCGGGCGAAAGCCTAAGCGCGAGAGGCGCACGCGGCAGCGCCACGCTACCCCGCAAGCTGCACAGGCCACCGAGCGAGGCTGGCAGCGGCGAGGAAGCGAGCCAGAGCCCGCCGACCGCAAAGCACACGGCGGCGCACGGGCATGATGGGCCCATGTTCCACCACCACCACCACCACCACCATAGGGAGGAGAGGGAGGAGGAGGAGGAGGAGGAAGAGAAGGAGGAGGAGGAGGAGGAGGAGGAGGAGGATGAAATATGGTAGTGGTGGTGGAAAAGTTGCCCATCAGGACAGGCGAGAGGAGGGGGCGGGCCGCAGGAAGGCGGGGCGGAGGCTGCCGAGCAGCGGCGGAGCCCGACCCGCGAGCGCACCGGCCGCGCGGCGGAAGCAGGCAAGGCGGGCGAGAGGAGCACGCGAGCGAGGTCGCCCCCGCACGACCTGGCGCCCGCAGGCTGGCCACAAGGGCGCAGGCGAGCACAACGATGCTGGGCTTGTTTTCAACCACCACCACCACCATCAGCTGGAGGGGGAGGGGTCTTCCTCCTCCTCCTCCTCCTCCTCTCCTCCTCCTCCTCCTCCTCCTCCTCCTCCTCCCCCACCTCATTTCCCCCTCCAACTTATGGTGGTGGTGGTGGAAAACAGACCCATCAAAAGAAAGAGAGCGGCCCAGGGCACCAGAAGGTGCACAAAGCCGCGCAGGCAAGGATGAACGCATGAAAACGACAGGGCGCCCACACTTGCGCACATTCGCCATACATATGCAAAACGCTGGCATGCAAAATCCATAGCTGTGGGGGCTGGGGTCGGTTTCCAACTGTTCAAGGAAAACGTGCCAGGACAGGACGGACGTTGCCAAGCAGCGGCCGAGCCTGGCCAGCGGGTGGGGCCTGGACAAACAGCCGCCAGGGAGGCAAAGGCGCCAGCGAAAACCGCCAGGCCGACGCGCGAGCGCAGCAGAGGAGTGGACCAGAGAGGGGGGAGGCGAACAGGAACAAGAATAATATTAATAATAATAATAATAATAATAATAATGCTAATACTAATACTAATAATAATAATAATAATAATGAGAAGAAGAAGAAGAGGAAGAAAAAGAAAAAGAAGGACAACAAAGCGTGGCTGGGCAGCCCAGCGACGTCGAACCAGACCCACGGGGGGCGAACGGCAGACTGTAGCTGCCCCTGGGGCGCGCCAGGGGACAGACACACAAGACGCGAAGCGTCGGAAGGGCAGGCCCATGGTCGACCAGGCCTGGACCGCTAGAGGCCGTCAAACTAGGAATAGGTAGACGAAAAATCATGGAAAAAACACAACTGTTCAACCAAGTTCAAAAATAGTCCAGGAATCGCCCACCGACTTTTGTTATAACTATGTTTGAACATTCCTCTTGTAGAGGGACCCGCCCGACTTGAAACTGGGAACGCCCAAGGCGCAGCTGGCAGCGGGCAGAGGGCCAGAGAAACCGCAGGGGCAAATCCCGCGGTCACACAGGTCGCCGACAACCGGCGCGCAGAGGGCGAGCAGGCCCGCCAACGCGGGCCCTGCCCCGCCCCGCACCTCCTGTGCGGAGGCAGAAGTCGCAGCGCCCAGCCAGGCCCCGCACGAGGCAGAGCCAGGCTGTAGCCGGAGCCCGCGAAAATCTCCCGTCGCAAGCGGGGCCGCCCCCCAGGCCGCGGCTCGCACGAGCAGGGGCACCCGGGCGAACCACGGGCAGCAGGTCGCACAGCCTCGGCAGCCAGCGGGTCGAGCAGGGGCACCCTGGCGGCACGTGGGCGCAGGACGTCTTGAGGTCGATGGCCGCAAGCCGCGAGTGGGAATTGAACAAGAAGGCTGCCGCAGGCGAAGGGAGCCGCCAAGCGCGGCAGGCTGGCGGGCCAGAGCCCCCCAACACCGCAGGCGCCCAGGAGAGGCGGTGGACCAGCGGCGGGCTGAGCAAGGCCGAACACCACCAGACCGGGCGGGTGGCGAGCCACGCCACCAGGAGCCAAGGCCGCAGGACAGCGACCCCCACGCCGAGGCGCGCCCGGGCGTGCAAACGAGAACAGAAAGAGAGAGAGAGAGGGATCGGATAGACTCGGCAGGAGGAAGCGTCGCGCCCCCCACCACCGTCTGGGCCCCCCCCCTTCGGCGGGCCGCGAGGATAGAGCCCTTGAACTTAAAAATCAAGTAAGGCCGTATGTGTATCTGGCCCTGCCCGGCGGGGGATGGGGGGGAGGGAAGAGAGAGAGAGAGAGAGAGAGAGAGAGAGAGAGAGAGAGAGAGAGAGAGAGCAAAACACCCGGGGCTAACAAGTGGGCGCAAGGGCTATCCAGCGGCGTGCGCCGCAGCAGGTAGATATACACACACGCGCGCGTTCTACGGGAAAGGCGGGGCCGCGGACCGCCATCCGTCCGCGATCCGCCCGACGCGCGCGGTCCGTGCAGTGGAATGAGAGAGACAGGGACAAGGAGAGAAGACGAGATGCAACGAGCCACACTATACATATATATATATGTATATATATATATGTGTATATGTATATGTATATGTATATGTATATGTATACATGTATGTGCAAATGCATATACATACCTACACACCTGCATACATATATACATAGATGCTTAAGTACGTAAATCCACACATGCATCCTGACATACATACAGACACACATACATACATGCATACATACATGGATACACACATGCATGTAAACATACATGCATACATACAGAGTTGCATACACTTTCATTGGCAACATGAGAGGGCAGCGGCTGCGATGATGCATCGGGAGTGTGTGAAAAAATCAACCGCACCTGGGCTAAACAAAGGTGGGGAGATCAGAGAAGACAGCCTACCGCTGGTGGGCAGACTGCTTCTGAGCATAACCAGAACCTTCAATGTCAACCAACTGCTGATCAGTGAGAGGCGTGCGTTCACACATCCGTGCTGTGCAGCGCGGCGCTCGATGACCAAGGTGCTCAATGGCAGCAGCACGGGAAGCAAATTGCTTCAAGCGTTGCTTCAAGCAGACGGGGCATTGCGAGCCTGCGACTTACTGGCGCGCCGGGGTCCGATACCCATGCATCTTGTATGTGTGGGTCCTCAACCCTTTCTGGGTGGAGCAGCACCGGCGCCGCTCGGGGGGGCAGTCGGGGCAGACCCAGGGAGCTTCAGCAGGCACGGGGTCTGCATGGACATTGATGTAAGTGGGCACGCAAACTCGCGGATGGAGGCGCGTGCAATCAGGCATCAGGTCACGCAGAGCCCGCTTCAATTGAGAAGGCTCGGCAAACAGGGCGAGCCAAGGGCCGGGCTCGGTGCAAGGGTCTGGCATGCCGTGCAGGGCAGGGGCAGCCTGCCACGCCCATCTCATATCGTCGGCCAGAGCTGCCGAAGCATTCTTGCACGGTTGCAGCCGGAACGCACGTAGAATAGCGGGGCCACGCGCGAAACTGGTAGCAGCAGCCACTAATCGCTTCTGTAACAGGATCAGGTCCGTGGGCAACACATGCAACTCCCTGAGCACCTCTTGGTCCGAGCCGTGTCCAGACCGCTTGAACTGGCAGCGGTTGGCCACCTGACGAAGCACGCGCGTGCGAGCGCTGTGAAGATGCCGGACGGCGTCGGGAGAAGGGTTCAGCCATGTTTCGGTGCCCAACCACAACTTCGAGAAGCAGAGCGAATCTGCGAGGGAGAGCCTCGTGCGCAGATCAACGTCGTAGTTGCCGTAGACGCGGTGCGCCAGAGGGTAATAGGCCTGCAAACAGGAAGTGGCCTTAGCACGCGCATCGGCGACGTAGGAGCCATTCACTGTGCGGACTGTGCCCACGTGCTTGTAGCGGCTCGTCACAAGCACTGCTCGGGAGCCGTCCAGCGTGCGCAGCATGTGACGCTTCCGCTCGGGGTCATAGAGGGAGGAGCGCTCTCGGCGAGATTCTTCGCCTGATAGGTGCAAGGAGAATTCCGGCTTGCGCTCCTTGAGGTTGCACTGGAGGCCGCACCTCGGCGAATGCGTCGATGACGATCTCCAGCAGCATGCTGGCCTGCGTGGAGGCCAGAGCAGGGACGCCGTCCACGAATGTGATGTCGAAAAGGTCCGCAGAAACGCGCGGGTAGGGCGCAGCAGCCGGACTCGCTAGGAGAGCTTCAGGAGAGGCGCCAAGGGCCCTGGCCTGCAGCAGCAGGTATACATATATATATATATATATATATATATATATATATACATACGCATGCATGCATACATACATACACACCAACAAACAAGCATACGCATACATGCATGCATGCATGCATGCATGCATGCATGCATGCATACATACATACATACATACGTACGTACGTACGTACGTACGTACATACATACATACATACACACACAGGCATGCATGCATGCATACATACATAAATGCATACATGCATATAAACATACATACCTACCTACCGACCGATCGACCGACCTACATACCTACATACGTACATCCAAACACGCATACGTACATGCATGCATACACACCTACATAAATACATGCATACATGCATACACACATACATACATACATACATGCATGTATACATGCATATATACCTACCGACCTACCTACCTACATACGTACAAACATACATGCATGCATGCATGCTGAAACACATGCATATATAACTCACGTACAGCCATGCGCACATGCATACATCTACATGCATATATATGTATACATACACATGAATCCATGCCTACATACATACATGCATGCATACATGCATGCATAAACATGCATACATATCTACAACCACGCATGCATGCACACAAACATGCATGCATGCATGCATGCATACATGTACACATACGTATACACATACATATGTATGTAGACATACATACATGCGCACGCACACGCGTCCGACTCCTGACGCCTGCGATGGCCGCCACCGGCGGCTGGCCCGAGCGCATGGCGCTACACGGCCCCCGACGTCGACATCGCGCCCAGGCCCTTCCACAGCGGGTGCTGGCACCGAGCAGTCGGTGCTTGAGCACCCTCGGCTTGTAAGGACTGCGACTTTGGACCAGGGGATGGAGCACGAGCACGAGCGAGAGAGAAGGGGGATGGGGGAGCACAAGCAGCAGCAGGAGCAAGATCGGGACGGAGCGGCAGGAGCAGCAACAGCAGGACGGAGGACGAGGACGGCGAGCAAAGGCGTAGAGGAGTTGGGGGGAGGCCGTGGAGGTGCTGGAGAAGGACATGCTGCCCCGAGGGCCCCCCCACGCCAGTCCGCAAAGGAGGAGGGCAGGAGAGCTGAGGAGCCCGTGGAGGGCTCCTCCGCGGCTTCGCCTGGGGCCATCCCCCTGGAGGCGAAGCCCCTCGGCGCACCCTCGGCGGCCACCCAGCCGTTTTGCCGGGGTCCACCAAGGCGCGCGCTGGACGCTTCGTCTCCCTTTTTCTGTCGTGCGCCTGGCAGGCCGGACTCACGGACGGAGGGGCACGAGGAGGAGCGAACGTCACCTGAAGAGTCCTGGTGGCTAGGCCTCACGCAACCGCTACATGGCGAAAGCACGACAGCGGGCGGCGGCAGGAGCAGAGACGTAAACGTGAGGGGGGGCGCCGATATGACCGTTCATGGCGTGATATATGTAGAAGGCCATGGATAGAGCGCGCACGACATATCCGATCGACTGCTGACCCACATGCGCCGCCTCCCCACCCAAGCCCAACCGAACTAACACATCAACATTCAGGGGTCGCTGAGGGTCGGCAACAAGCTCCAGGAATACATCACAAGCGACATTGTGCCGAGTACAACCTATACAACTGGGACAGCCCATGAAACAAGCTGTCGAGCCGTGAACTACATGCATTCGACTGTTGGTGGTCCATGCCCAACTCAAGGTCTTAAGAACGCACCAGCGAATGTCGGACTTACAGCGAGCCAGGTAAGAGCGGAGAAAGAGCCAGGAAGAGTCGAAGTCGGGAGGAAGGGGGAGGTCAGGATACCACTTACTGACACGCCTGCGCATTGCGTCTGAAGACCGATCAAGATGGACGAATCTTAAACAGGACGCCAGCATGATCCGACAGACCTTGGTCAGACAAGCGCGTGCATCAATGAGCAATCTGAAGCGCCCCATCTAGAAGCATAAGCTCAGACGCGCGACCAGAAACGGAGAACCGACCAACGCATGAGACCTGCAGCCGATGCGAATTATATCTAGTGGGAAGATCGCTTCTGACCTCTGCCATGGTGCTGAACACACGCTTCCATCGCGCCTGCATGTGCTGGCCACGATTACCGATGACAGGGAGAGAGGTGGAGGTAGAGGAACGCGAGGAGGAAGCCAGGAGAGCGAAAGGAGCGAGGCGGAGACTCAAGGATGTTGAAGCCACCAAGGGCGATTAATATAGATGTGCGCTCGCGCTGCTGAACATGCGCGACCTGTTGGGACCAAGGGCGCTCGATCTCGTGAACCTCGAAGGGCCGAAAGTTCGTGATTGTGTATGTTGAGCGCACGCATGAAATGCTCGTGTGCAGGAGACGGCATAAAAATGTCGGCCGCTCGGCCAGGAATGATGGCGTACACAGTGCACGCAAACTTCCGAGCATCAGGCACCGGTGAGTGTTGCTGAGGATCAAGATCGAGAAACGCGACTCCACCAGCAGAGACACCCGTGATGGACCGGAACCAGTCATAAGCGCAAAGCGTGGACTCGACCAACTGCTTCAACCGGCGCTCATCACTTCGAACCTCTTCAAGGAAAATGAGGGAACGTTGCCGCATACATTACGACAGAAACTTGATGTTGTCCTCGCGCTTGTGAGTGTTGAGGCACAGGAAGCTCCTCGCGCTTCAGCAGATGATGCGGATGCCGTGCTGGGCGCGGCGCAGATAGGGCTCCCACGGAGCCCAGCCAATGTTACCCAGACCACCAGATGCTGTCGCCCGAGACGGTGGCATTGAAGGCTCTCTCAATCGCCAGACTGTCGATGTTGCATTGGGCAACAGCTTCCAAATTCCAACGGACACCATTGGGTTCGTCATGCACCGGGGGGACAACAACGCGCATGGTACACTGTAGACCAGGACTTGGAATCGTGCACGGCGGCATCTCCATGTTTGGTCAGGGTATTGGCTTTCCAATAGCTTGCAGATCTTTTTGGCTTGCACCTCGCCTCTGAACATCTTGGGACTCTTGCCCATGGACACGAAGATCGGCAAGATGTTGCTTTCGGTTGGCATGACGCATCTGACCAGGGCAGCAGCACGAGAGCTGGCCTCCCTCGACATTGTTGCCGAGCACGCGGACTGCGAACCGCCTGGCGACGAAATCTCAGATGAGCTCGACATGCGTGGGCTGGAGCTTAGCTTCGGTGTGCCAAGAGGAGAGGCCATCACGAACAGCCTGAGGAGCCGCAGGGGAAGCAATGCCGCCCGAGAAAATGAACGGATCCACCGCCCTGTCCCAGTTCGCAAGGTTCTCGACGTCGAATGGGAGTTGCGCCTCTGCGATGGCCAGCTGCTGGCGGATGGCGTGCACCTCGGAGCGCATAGTTGCCTGAGCGTTGGCAGTGGCCTCCTGCCCCTGACGAATATCGTGAAGATCGCGTGCGGTCGCGTCCAGCAAGCGATGAGTGCGAGTTTGCTCCATCGTGAAGGACGACTGGAGCCCGATGCCAATGGCCTCCAGTTGCTCTGCGGCCGCAGAAACTGCAGCAGAACTCGTATCCACTTGAAGAGTCTCACGAAGGCGCTGTTCCATTCTCTCAGTATCTGGATTGGTGCGCTACGGGTCTTGCATAAACGAAGGACCCTCGCCAACAGGTGTAGCCGTGCCTTGAACTGGCGCGCCAACCACGCGTTCATGATCAGGGAAGATGGTTGCAGCATCCAAAGCTTCCAGGGTTTCACGCATGGCGCTGTTACCGCCAGCGGGACCAGGGGGAAGCACAGCGGGGGCAGGCTCGCCACGAGGAAGGCGATCACGAGCAGGACCAGGTGCACTGGCACGCCCAGAACGGCCATCAGGAACTGAAGCACGGTCACGATCTATATCACGCTCGCGATCTCCACGAGATCCTCTCTCACCACGACATTGTTCAGAGCGACCGTCATGGTCTTGGCGATGGCGTCTGGAATCAGCAGCAGGAACAGGACGAAAAGAGCTGCGGCTGCGGTCGGTGCGCGGTTCGGCGTCGCTCGAGAGTGAGACATGGGGTCAGCTGTCCGCGACCACTCGCCGCCGCGCTGGCGCCACCAGAGCCCACTATGGCAGGACGGGCGAAGCTCTGACGCAGTGCGTGAAACAAGGCATGTATGGAAGCGGTGCCGTGGCCATCTGAGGCTCACATCGGGAGGCATCGAGCCCCCCTGCGGTGAAGACGAAAACTGATCGCTGATTCTCAGAAGTCTATGGTCCTTCACAAGGTTTCTGCTTGAGTGAGCCAATCGGGCTACGGTTGCGCAGGCGGAAGAACAGCATAGGGGGGGCGCGGGTCCCGCCTGGCCCTACCTCAAAATGACGAGGCCGCCGCGGCCGCACGTCAGCGGGCAACGGAGCGGCGGGGCGCGGGAGAACGGCTCAGCGAGGAGGAGAAGGAAGAGGAGGGAGGAGGGAGGAGGGAGGAGGGAGGCTTTGACTGCACTTGGCTCGTTGCAAGTAGCTTGAGCTGGGTGGCCGAGGTCGGCCAGGCGGCAGACAGAGCCCGCCTAGCGGGCACAGCACAGGTTCTCCGCTCCGGTCCGTCCGCAGGCAAAAGCGATTCTTCGCCATTGGACCTGCATGATGGGCGGGGGAGGTATTGGCACCGAGGGGGAGGGAGAAGGAATGATAAGAAGAGAGGGGATCGGTGCCGTGCGAGATACACTGAGCGCGCCATCTAGGCGTTGCCCTATGCGGGCAGCGCTGAAAGACCGGGAGCAGCAGAGCTGGCCTCAGGGACGGCCATCTGGGAGCATGGCTGAGCCATGCAAATTAGCGGGATGAGTAG